ATGGGAGTCAGAATCGGGAGAAATAAGGATCATCACCATGGCGACTGACAATCAAAAACAAAAGAACTGACTTTTGAATGGGAACATTTTCTCAAAAGATTTTGCATGAAAGAGGACGCTGAAATTATGGATGGATCCTGGATACCACATGCTCCCCCAACTATACTGCAATCATGGACATCTATTAAAGGAGATATACCCATTTCTTTAGTTGTTTGAATGTTTAGCACCGCCCCCAAACTCGCTCACAGGCTTATCATTTCCCCTACGCTCTCATCCCACAAAGCCATCTAGTTTTATTTGCGAAGTGTGCAAACATTAGCATTAGAGCCACTTGTAAGCTGTACAACAATCACTGATGAAATGGTACAAAAGCAACACACTGCTAACACAATATACACAATAACTGAAAGATTACCGCTAGTTACGCGTCCGAATGTGGTCCGAGCATAGATAGACCGAGGCGGTCCCGCAGGTCTCTCCCACAGACAAGTCTCTCCAGAGGATACGATGTAAGCTAGCTATGTTCACCCCGGCTTGATTTCTACTTTGATCATTTTTTTGCTTTAGTTCCCTCTTCTCCTCCTCACTGTTGTGTCGTTTACAACCAGAGGAGTTATAGTCACTATCAGCTGCCATGATGCTGTGTTTACGACTTAGATCCATGGTTTATCTGCGCTGTAGACGCTAGAGGAGGCAGCCTGTTCGTAGCAGAGCCGCTCCTCGTTCTGTAAGTTTCTACACAGCACTATGTACGGCCTGAATTCATACACAAGCTGAATCAATGAGCTCAAGTTTTCAATTAAATTACGGATTTTTATACAACTTGTTTGTAGTAATACGCATTTTTATGAACTCATTCGAAAATAAATCGGGTATAGCTTCTCTAACAGTTATGGACATTTGTCATCTGTCCCTTATGGACCAATGCATTTCCTGAGTTTGAACTGTTTGTTTCTCTGATCTGTGTTGGTGAATCAACAACATTAAAGTCGGAAAGTCCTCCGAAATAATTACTGTTGTGATTTAGGGATATGCAAAAATAATTTGAATTGATTGAAAGGGAACCAGTAAAATAATTTGGACAGTGTATAAGTTCGATAACCAATGGATTTGATCAAGTGTCAAGAAATGAAGACAAGGCAGCGGTGATCGCACCTGTAACCTGTATACAAATATAAGTTTGTATATTGATTATTGTTAAAAAAAGTATTATAAAAAGTATGTCCAAGTGATCAAGCTGTGTGGACCTCATCTCTACTTTATTCAGCCTATAATTTTTTGACATATTCATAAAATCCAGAACACCTTTAAGCCCTGTATGAAAAATGTGGTTCCAACGTGACATGAATTGTATTAACTTTTGAATAATAAAAAGTTTTTCCCCAGTCTGTGTTTGCGTCCCATCGAGCTCTGTTGTTTTCACTCCTTTTATCGCCGACCATAAGTGTTAACATCACAGCAAGTTGTAGAAAATGTGTTTTCGGGTAAAAATGTGGCGACTTCACCAAAGACTGTTCCAGAACGACGGGTAACTTGAAAATGGACTTTATCAAAAGCTGATCTTCAAACCTGGTGTTATTCCCACAATAAAATACACTAACTAGGAGCACAACTGTGGTAAACATAGAAGAAGTCGGTCTCACATTCTCAGGAAGACTGATCTAGATATTAGCTGCATACATCTGAAACGCCGCCTCCCCATGTTTAGTCCTGACTCTGGGACCAGTCCCTGTGCTCCTCAGTCCCTGTGCTCCTCATGTATCAGTCGTTGAGGCAGACGGTGAACAAAGAGATGATCTATGTGTATGATGTCGTTTCATGGTAATATCCAGAGACTCTATAAAGATGGATGATGCTAATCTGCTAGTTCAATGAAGCTCAATAAGGAAGTGCTCATGGATGAAGTTTTTCTCCAACTCTCTCTGATTCCTTTTGACGTACTTTCAAAAGTGATCACCTCGATCTCAGAAGCCGTTTATTCTCTCTGTGATCCTGGTGTTTATATTTTCAGTTGCATACTCAGCTTTAAGGATCAGATTGTTCTGATGAGGTCATTTTGACAGAAACAAGAATACTTTACTGAGAAATGTTTGTATTTTAGTCGACTGTTTCCTTCTGGTTTCTGGTTCAGCGAGTGTGGTGTGAAAGGGAAGGAAACACAACACAAAAGTGTGATCATAATTAAAACTTTATCAAAAGAGACAAAGAGGTGAAGATGGACGCCTCTCTCTGCTCTCGCTGGTCCATCTGTGAGTACTTTTACTTCACAATTTAAGATTTTAAACTATTTAAACAATAGACAACAATGCATATTTAAACTACTCTTTTATTGAAGGTTTTTGTGTCGTCTTCTGCAAAGTGACAACAGGTAATAATCTCTCTTTCATCTGGAATTTAGCAATGGTCATTTTCTGTAGATTCTTCAGAACACCTGGCAGCTCTGGAATAAGGCTGTGGAGAAGTATAAAAATAGATTAGGCTATATAAAGATTTATAAAGATTTGAACAATCTCTGAGATATTTAAATCGTCTGTTGAATACACTGTCACAAAATAATAAAGCATCACTGCAAACTTACCAACACACGGCTCTCAGCCTGAACTTCCTGACCGAACAAGGAGAGGACTGATCAGAGCTGTATGTAGCCACAAAGCCCATGAGGACCTTGGATCTACTGCAGAGGCCACAGCTGAGGTGGGGAACCCGTCCACAGGTCAACGATTACTCCTACACTGCACACATCTGGCATTTACGGAAGAGTGGCTATAATTCCTACAAGACAATGACCCTTTACATATCGTCAGGGCAACAATGAAATGTAGAAAACCAAAATCTTGTGTGTCTGACTCTGACTCTGATCCTTGTTATTTCTTGGTCTCTTTCTCCACAGGTGACGGGGCGACTCTGTTCACTCCTGACCACACTGTGTATCTGGGAGACACTGTACATCTGAGATGTGCAGGAGGTTATGGAGAAATACTGGACTTTTACAGAAATCAGATTCTTGTTCAAAGAGATACACATAAATATCAGTTAGCGATGAACTCAAAGTTTGCTTTCTATGACATCCATCCATCCATCCATTTTCTACCCTTTAATCCATTTCTGGGTCAGGGGGGTGGCAGTCAGAGATGCCACCCAAGTCTCATAGCACCAGCCCCTCACTGATCCTCTGCAGGTGGTGAGTCCACAGGAGCTGAGATCTTCCAGCGGGGGCTTTCTATGACATTCAGATAAAATCCAAATCTGATGGGGGTTTGTTCTCGTGCGGGGCCAGTGAGGAAACACAATCTGGTGTGAAAGAACTTAGAGTCAGAGGTAAGAGAAGCACATGAACTCTATTCAACTCTATACTATTTTAAATCTTATTCTGTAAATATACAACCAACGTTGTTTTTGTGTGATAGTTCTTTCTTTTGTTTTTCACAGAGAAGTCACGCAGTGTTGAACTGACCGTGGTCAACACTCCAGTGGAGGGCAGAGTGACACTGGGCTGTAGTGTAGAGGACTGGAAGGAGAAAGTCCTGTGGGTTTTCAGAAACAGTTCTTCTCATCCTTATTCTGTGCTGAATAATGACAAAAGTGTTGGGACTGTGTCTCGTGGAGGAGTGTACTCATGCAGAGGAGCAGGTTATGATTTATTTACAGGAAAAAGCAATGAAATCACAGTTGAATCGTTTGGTGAGTTGTTAAACTGTTTGTATCAACATATGAACAATAACATTAACATATAACATTATTTAAAAACTTACTTAATATGCAGATGTAAACATATCTTTTATCTCTAGTCCCCAGGGTGGGTCCCAGTCTGTTACAGGTTTTTCTCGGGGACAGTCTGACCCTCAGGTGTAATGTGGAGGCTGGAGTCAACACAGACTGGACCTTTCACTGGAGCAGAAAGAGACTGAACTTTAGTCCAACGACCAGAGACTGGACAGTGTCCAGAGAGACCAGAGACTGGACAGAGTCCAGAGAGACCAGAGACTGGACAGTGTCCAGAGAGACCAGAGACTGGACAGTGTCCAGAGAGACCAGAGACTGGACAGTGTCCAGAGTGAGAGAGTCTGACACAGGAGCCTACAGCTGCAGAGCGGAGAGAGGACCACACACCACTGTGTGGAGCAGAACCACCAATGTCACTGTGCACAGTGAGTCTCTGTTTCAGAGACACATTTATGATGGTTTTATTTCTGTGGTTTTCTGGATTTATTGTTGTCCTTTCAGAAAGACCCTGCTCTGTCTCTGTGATTCGATCGTCTGATGCTCTCCCAGTGGGAGGCCGTGTGACTCTGACATGTGTAATACAGAGACCTTCTCCAGTCCATGAGGAATACAGATGGTTCAGAGGGAAAGAAGATCAACCTGAAGAACTGAGAGAAACTTCACAATCTATCAGCGTCTCCAGAGGAGGAGAGTACAGCTGCAGAGGACAAACTCAGTTTGGATTTACAGCTCGGAGCCTTCCAGTCTCCCTCAAAGAAACTGGTGAGTCCATAATGCATCACTGTCTCACTGGTCACTTTGTCCTACACCTGTGTCTCATACTCCATGACTGCAGTACTTGTACATGTGTCTCATACTCCATGACTGCAGTACTTGTACATGTGTCTCATACTCCATGACTGCAGTACTTGTACATGTGCCTCATACTCCATGACTGCAGTACTTGTACATGTGCCTCATACTCCATGACTGCAGTACTTGTACATGTGTTTCATACTCCATTACTGCAGTACTTGTACGTGTGTCTCATACTCCATGACTGCAGTACTTGTACGTGTGCCTCATACTCCATGACTGCAGTACTTGTACATGTGCCTCATACTCCATGACTGCAGTACTTGTACATGTGTCTCATACTCCATGACTGCAGTACTTGTACATGTGTCTCATACTCCATGACTGCAGTACTTGTACATGTGTCTTGTACTCACGGGAGATGATGTGTTCATCTTCTTCATTTCTCTGAAAGTGTCTCAGAGTAAGTTTGTGACACAATGACATCAGACATGATCATATCAAATAAATACAAGATCCACTCCTCAGGACCTGCTGCTGTTGTGTCAGTGTCTGAGTCCTGGCTCAGACCTGGGGCCTCTGTGTCTCCGAACTGCACTGTGACAGCGCCCTCTGCAGGATGGAGCTTTCACTGGTACAGGGCTGTTCCCCACTCAAAGTCTTTCACATATGAGCGGCTCCCAGGGGCCAGTGTGGGCTCTGAACACAACTGCTTCAGCCTCCAGGGCCTCAACCACTCAGCAGCGTTTGTGTGTCGAGCAACAAGAGGAAGTCCCGCCTTCTTCTCTGAATACAGCGACCCCTCCTTTGTTTGGTCTGAAGGTACAGCCTCATGTCTCTCTCTCTGAGCCTCATCTTTAGAGTGTATTAAACCTGAGTTTCTTTAGACAGAGTGTATTAAACCTGAGTTTCTTTTGACAGAGTGTTTCAAACCTGAGTTTCTTTAGACAGAGTGTATTAAACCTGAGTTTCTTTAGACAGAGTGTATTAAACCTGAGTTTCTTTAGACAGAGTGTATTAAACCTGAGTTTCTTTAGACAGAGTGTATTAAACCTGAGTTTCTTTAGACAGTGTATTAAACCTGAGTTTCTTTAGACAGAGTGTATTAAACCTGAGTTTCTTTAGACAGAGTGTATTAAACCTGAGTTTCTTTAGACAGAGTGTATTAAACCTGAGTTTCTTTAGACAGAGTGTATTAAACCTGAGTTTCTTTAGACAGTGTATTAAACCTGAGTTTCTTTAGACAGAGTGTATTAAACCTGAGTTTCTTTAGACAGAGTGTATTAAACCTGAGTTTCTTTAGACAGAGTGTATTAAACCTGAGTTTCTTTAGACAGAGTGTATTAAACCTGAGTTTCTTTAGACAGAGTGTATTAAACCTGAGTTTCTTGATCCTGGTCCTTTCTCCTCAGATGCAGCGTCTACAGAGTCTCTGTCCGTCAGTCCTGACAGAACACAGCACTTCACTGATGACATCATCTCTCTGAGTTGTGGGTTCAACTCCACTGGAGCAGAATATAAAAGATATTGTGACAACAAACTCTCTCTGCACAAACATGCAGCTCAATGAGGAAAGATAAATGTGACTTTAGTTTACATGAGAAAACCAGTGCAGTGTTTTGGTGCGAGTCCAGAACTGGAGAAATGAGCAACGCCATCAACATCTCCGCTCACAGTGAGTTTGTTACAATCTGAGTTTGGACTTTTATAAAATCCTGTTTGATTGTTTTGACTTCTCAGGTGACATCATCCTTGTGAGTCCTGTTGGTGCAGTGACTGAGGGACAGTCTGTGTCTCTCAGCTGCAAACTCAAAGAAGGGACTTTTACTTCAGTCATTTTTTATAAAGATGGAAAAATGGTTCAAAATGGGACAGAATCAGAGCTGAGCATCTCTGCAGCGTCCAGGTCTGATGAAGGCCTTTATAAATGTGAAGCACAATGGAAACCATGGCAACCATCAGTACCAAAGACTGGGATGTCTCCAGAGAGTTGGGTCTCTGTTAAAAGTCAGTACGAGCAGTTAAAATATACAATGTACTTAAAAATAAAGATACATTTTAACTTCTTGCTTTATTCCAGCTGCCCCTGTGTCAAAAACAGGCCTCTCCTCTGTCCCTGTGATGTGGGTGGTGGGACCTGTGTGTTCTGTGGTGTTACTGATTCTGCTGCTGCTTCTGTGGAGCTACACCAAAACAAAAGGTGAACATATGATTTCATGAACCATTGTTTCCATAGAAACCATCTGCTTTATGTAGCGGTAAAACAGACGTGTCTCAACAACATGAAACTCAAGATAAAAACATACAAGTGACTGAAATGTATAAACACATATTTGTCTTTTCCTTTTCAGGCCAAGATTCTGCCAGGTTAGTTTGATCGTTCTTACACTTTAATCATTAAAATCATGAGTTTGTTAAGTGGTGTTTTTCCCGATAGTGAGAATGTTGAAGGAGGAGAATCCCCAGAGCAGCAGCAGCTGTACTCATCTCTTCTGCACGGTTTGTACCACATATTATTTACCTTTTAAGTTACGTTTTAAAATCATGATTGTTTTTCCACTTTAGCCGACGTTTGTGTGTATGAAACTCTCTGTGCTGCAAGCAACACAAACGGTAAAAGCTTTTCCTGTTTTCATTCATGATGTTTTCTAAGTTTTATACGTTCTGTTTCTTCCCACAGGTGAAAAGTCTTTAGATTCAACTATTTAACTATTAACAACTTCACAACTATTTAAACATGAATGTAATATTAATGCATGAAAGTAACAAATGAAACTTTGAAGAGTCTCAAGTTCATTCAGGGTCAGGGACAAATGTTTTTTTAGACTATTTTCTCCATCGTTTATTTAGTAGATTTTTGTACAGTTCATATTTGGCTGTGTTTTCTTGTATTATTTGTTTTCACTTCATGGAGGTGTTTGGACCAAAAGATTATTTTTCTTGAACTTGGATATCATTTTATGTATATTTTTTCTGAACAAATTCATGTTTATTATTATTTTTATTATTGTTTTTTTACCAAATGTGTTTATAGTGGAATATGTGTCAAAAGTAGATCATTTATTTGTCTCCAGAGTCAGTAACATGTAGTGAAATGACAAGGACACATTTTCATCTGTTTTAGTTTGTTTTAAGCAGTCTCACAAAACAATTAAGGCTGGGACTCCATTCAAAAAATGTATCAAATTAATCAGAGGCTTTGTAATTAATTAATCAAAATTAATCACATTTTAATCACAGATAAATATTTGAGCTGAGAACAGTGAGAAGTCCTTTTGTTCCCATCCACGGGGCCAACCAACGCGCTCACATCAGCTTCTTTGTTCATGGTCACTGTGCCTCTGTGCTCTGTTGTTGTCTGAACCAAATTCATGCACGTTAGTTGGTGCTCCAGTACAATCGGTCCGTCTGAAACTCATCCAGTGAGAAACGTTCCGCGGTGCAAAAAATTAATACGATGAAAATCCGTAATTTTTTTTAACACGCACTAACGTTATTACAAACTCTTTTTTTTCTGACAAAACACGTTAAAATCATGTATTTCCCACCTTTGCAATGTGTTTTTATGTTAAAGATAAGTAATAAATCAATAAAACAACTTTTTAATATCCACGCCTCTGATTGGCCAGAATGATGATGACGTACTTGTAGGGTCGCAGCTCCCGCCTCACTGTTTATGGCATCGCTCCTGCTGCCGCTTTGACACAAATAAACCTCAAAATGGGTGTATCTTTGACTTATTCAGAGAAGGTGACGGCCCACACAAACTGAGAGAAGACACCAGCGCCAGTTCCATGAAATTAGTTCTATCAAGCTCCAACTAAAACCAATTTTACGAGTTTCAACCCAGTATTCAGCAGAAAATATAACAACTGTCATTGAACCATGAATCCATGTTTCACTCTACGTTTAGTAAGACACATGTTCAGAACCACAGACACACGTTCAGAATAAGACTTTAGAACCACAGACACACGTTCAGAATAAGACTTTAGAACCACAGACACACGTTCAGAATAAGACTTTAGAACCACAGACACACGTTCAGAATAAGACTTTAGAACCACAGACACAGGTTCAGAATAAGACTTTAGAACCACAGACACACGTTCAGAATAAGACTTTAGAACCACATACACACGTTCAGAATAAGACTTTAGAACCACAGACACACGTTCATGGATAAAGTGAATTATTATGTAGCACGTTTGCTGTGTTAATATCAATGTGTAAAAAGTTACTGTACTATGTCTAAGACCAATCTATTGGAAAAATAACCGAATGACTGAGATTGTAACTGTGGGGACCTGTAGATGGGTGGGGACCTGTAGGTGGGTGGGGACCTGTAGGTGGGTGGGGTCCTGTAGATGGGTGGGGACCTGTAGGTGGGTGGGGTGTTTGTAAGTGGGTTTGGGATTGTATAGTAGTATGGAATGTTACACTTGTTCTGCTGTGTTGTTTTAGGGGCCCCGTCTATAAGCTAATGCAGCTTCCTGGGAGTTCCCTTTTTACAAAACACCAACCAACCCTACATTGTAAAAGTGTATAACCTATATGGCTACAAGTTTTGTAAATAAAATAATTGAATTGAATTGAATTGTTTGCATTTGATTGAAGACACTCACCATTTCTCTCAAACCTAACATCTGGAGCTGCGACATAGAGTTGAGGCTTCTCTCTCTCGGAGTTACGGGTATTGACGTGTTAGCTGGTGTTAGCGTGTTAGCTGATGTCCGTAAAAATAGCGTAAATCCTTCTTGTCAAGCCACCTCCAGACTTTTCAGTTCTGTCCACTTTTACAGCTGGGATCTTTCATTTCACTGTAGTCACTTTTACGCTTCTTAACTCTTCTCTGCACTACGATGTCCCTAATGTACTCCTTCGTCCCTAGCGCTACATTCGCTAACACTTAGCTATTTACACTCACTCGGGTGCACCATCGGGCTCAAACTGACCGCATCCGCGAACCGGGTCGAGACGGGTCGGACCCGGTCGGACCATGACATGACTCCAGCCTGTGGAAACGGTCCTCATGTCTGCAAATGTCCATTTCTTGCAGATTGCTCCTCATCTGAACCGAGGACCGTCAGAGTCCTCAAAATCAGAATTACTGTCATAACAAGTACGCAAGGGCTCATAAATAAAAGCCCTTGACTTGTATTGTCCATCACTGAATAACAAATATCTGTTTAAAACGTCCGTATACAACGTTATGGCTTACAAATGCATATCAACAAAGCCCAATGACCCCTACGTGTACGTCACTTCCGGTCCCGGCAATTTTTCCGCGAATTTCTTTTTGCATGATAATTATTGATAGTTTCACCCTTAGCGGTTTCTATCTGTCAAAATGAGTTTTATTTAACACAAAAAAAGACCACACTATATCAACAAAATAAGATTAGGTCCCTTTTAAGCAACGTGACACAAATATTAAGTGATCTATTGAATGATTGTGAAACATAAGGACCGCTGTAATGTGCGAGAGCATTTCTGTAGCGACCCAACGACTGTAGCTAGGAAACTGCTGCGTACCTACTGAGTTCTTGTTGAAACGGTAATTACTTCCATAATAATAATTAATAGTAATCCAAAAACATAATGCGTCTTATCCAAACTGTCCTGTGATATGTATGTTACTGCTCTCTGCTGTTTTTTCTGTTTGTTGCATGGCGCCGTAAAGATGGCGCCGTGGCAAGAGCTCTGGTGTGTGTCGTCTTCTCTGTCTGGTGCACACTGGGGTAGTCTTGCACAGTTTTTCCAATGTGGTTTTACTGCAAATGGCAAATAAATGCAGAAGCTATCGGGGCTAGCCACGCTCATTAAACATGAAAAACAATCGATTAACACCTTTAAATGTTAATTGGAGAATATATTATACATATACATCCTTAACACATGTGCACAGAGGTTTTCAGAATTATCTGTTAACGTTTTCATGACAATAATACTGTTTTAATGTGACCAAAAACGATCGTGATGAACCCGGAAGTAACCATTAACAATAGTAGAACATGTTAGGACACATTTGCAGAGGATCTGATTATGGATTTAGGTAAAGTTTTTATTTGGGACACTCACCGCTGATGTTCAGAATTCTTTGTTCACTTTTCATGTAGTTCTGGAGAATATTAAGGGCTGTCTAATATTTGTTTTAATATATACAATATATATATTTAATATTTGAATTGTATACGAGTACGAGCGCGATGATTGACAGCCCTTGGCATCACTTGATTGGTTAAAGTGGACGGCATCGTAGATTTTGCAAAACCAGGAGAACCTATGGGTGAATTCCTCTAATCTTTGGCTCCAGTGTATGTCCCATGTGCTACTGAGCACAAGCTATTCATTTGAAAACAGCGCCATCTTGGATCACAGGGGCTTGGCAGTATTGCGATTGATGGCTTTCGAACAAATGCCTTTTTTTGTTGACTAATGTAGTGACTGTGATCATCAGCTCACAAAGAGACACAGTGCACATTGGCCATACTGTTTTCTTACGTGTACAAAAAACCCACAAAATAAACGGTCAGCAAAGAAATACGGCTACCCAGATCCCTTCGACTTCTCACCTGAACACCGGTATCTGCCATATTCGAAGTTACCGGGCAGACCCCCCAGGGCTCCCGTGACTCATGCATCAACCCTGACGTTTCCATAACAACCTTAAACATTATGTCTCTTCCACTAAA